CACCTTGGCTTCAGTCAAATTCTCCAGCAGGGTTGGAAGCACTGAAATCCATTTTCTCAGGCAGCTGGTGATCTTCTTCATCTGTGGGTGTGGTGCTCCATGACGTCCTCCAAGGACCTGAACCTCGGAGTCCGTTGCTTGCACCCAGGATTTTCAGAAGGCCTGGACTCAGAAGCTGCATGCTAACCCCCACTACCGTACCCATTTGGGTCTTTCCCTTGATAGAGTTTTATACTTCCCCTCAGTTTATCCTTAGCTCTTGTTAATATAGGAAAAATATAAAGAAAAGTCTGCAAAGAGCAAGTCAGACAAGAGACATGCTTTGTAGTCAGGAAAACTCCCTATGCTCTCAAGGATAGTATGTGATGAACAACTCTCCAATGTTGAGGATGGCTTATTACATTTTTTTTTTTTTTTGGAACTGGGGATTGAACTCAGGCCCTTGTGTTTGCCAGGGAAGCGCTTATTCCACTGAACCATCTCCCCAGGCCCATATATTACTTTTACACTTGTTCTTTTGCTATTTTTATCTGCATAAATGATAAGCTTTTATACTTTTTAACTTTTTTCATATATTCTGTTCTTATGGTTATTATTTTCTTTAATTTGACAGTGCTTGAGATTAAACTCAAGGTCTCCCACTGCTTGGATGGTGATGTACAATTGTCCAAGAACATTATTATTTTTCCTTTCCTTTTCTCTTTGCATCTTACAGTGGAGTACACTGTTGCCCTGGTTTCAAGGTTCCATATTATTTTAATTGGTATATCTAATGTATGGTGAGCCCGACTAGGCTTTGTGTATTAGTGTGATGTTTTGCTATATTCTTATGTTAACTTTTCATTCTCTGTCCTCCTATCTGGCCTTTATCCACTTTTCCTTTTGGAAGTGTCAGCATATTATCATGCCATTTCCATCTTCTACATATGCAGACTCTGAACTCTCCTTGGTCCTTCTCTAATATCTGCCCTTTTTGTCGTGGGAAGTTTTCATTTCTTTTTTCTCGAAATCCACACAGGATTAACTGTATGACATGATTGGAAATAAATCTTGCATTCAGGGAAATTTTTGTGTATTTGTGGGGGTTGAAGCCATGTCTTCTGTATCCAGCAGCTAAATTACCACAATGTCTCTTGTGAGAGTTCACCTACTGAACATGTGTCTATCATTCCTTCAGTTTTTATCCTTTATGATATTAGATTTCTGTTGACTCTTAGTAGGTGTGGAAGGAAAAAAGTGTTACTCGATACTAGGCCTTAGATTTTGGATTTAGTGATCTTAGGCCCCGGGCTCTCAGCTATGGTCAGACTGTGCAGTGTCTTAGCCATTGTTCCAATTTTGTGCACCATTCTGCATCATCATTGGACCACAATTAAATGACTGGTAAGAGTTCAGCACTGGTAGGAAAAGATTTCTCACCCAGTTCATCCAGAGAAATGATGTCCTCATGCTCTTGCAACATGTCCCACATAGGTATCTGGGTTCGCTACTCAGGGAGCTACTGTATTACTACAGGAAATGTGCATGTACTCAATGAATGAATGCATATTGGGAATTCTGTTACAGAAAACCAGGATAATGACAACAATGAAAAAGATCAGAAACCTCTGGCCCTCAGGTAATAATCATTGAGGTTCTTATTGGGTTGAGAAATGTGTGTCCAATATCACTACTGATGAAAACAAAAGATCACTTGCAACCACATGTTTCATGAGCAGAGTGAAGCAAAACTCCTGCTGTGGTTACATACCCTGAGTCGGTGAAGAAGTAGCACTTTGTACAAGGCATCCACTTGTCTTCA